GTTTCATTTCCAATATTTTTATCTTAGACAGGAGATCTTTTATCTTAATCTTAGATTCTTTAAGAGAAATATCTTTGTGAGTAATCTGGAATGTTAGATTATTTAACTCAGAGCGCAATCGTTTAACCTCATCTTTAAGCTGGAAAGCATGCTTGGAGAGTTTCTCTTTATCTTTATTGGATTGTTTTAGATTACGTTGTATATGCTTATTGTTTTTATTCAAGACAGAGCATTTATTAGAAAGTTGATTGCCACACTCTATAGCAATTTCTCGATCTCGATTTGCACAAGCAAGCTGATTTTCAAGTTCCGTTTAACTAGGTGGATATTGACTAGATGATATGTCACCTAATTTACTGCCTTCACCTATATCTGACAATATATAAATTCGAGGCATATGTGTTTTAATACTAGCTTTATTGCTATATCACTAAAATAAATATAAAAAATAAATATAATATATTAAATAGAATATATATTTATTAATGTGATAATTTTAATATATTAGATAGAATATATATATTAATTAAATAATATAATCCTATATATTTGATGTATTCTATTTTTCTGATATATTTTATAATTTTTATTTTTTTGATATATTTTATTAGATAAAAAACAAAGTAATTACACTTATTAGTATAGTTAGAGTACGTATAAAATCTGATGCAGCTTTGTTTTCAGCTAAAGATTATTCATATATAATGCAATGTCGTAATATAAAGCCAAGATACAAAATTTTAAAGGAATTATTAGATAAATATAAAACATCATCAAAACAGATTTATCAGATCTGGAGAGGAGAAGAAGATAATAAGGTCACTTGGGATCAACCTATACCTCAATCATATAAAATAAATAATATATCTAGCCACGAAGTATCAGGCTTCAGCAATAATTCATCTAATATAAATAGCTGTAAAGCTAGCCTCTTGACTAATGTGAACCACTCTGAAGTTTTATCAGATAAATCAGCAGAGATGGGATGACCAAAGATTCAAAGTTCTACTTCCTCATGTGCAGTAAAAAAAAGTGCCTCTTCCATAGACAATACATTTAAGAGAAAGGCTGATCTTGAAAAATTAATAAAAGATACTGAAAGATTAGCTCCTATTCTTTTATCTTTGTCTTAGTAAGCTGAGAGCATCTTTCTACAAAAACTCTACCTGCATTTAGAGCCATATCAAGCCACTTTTTAGTTTTTATGAGTCACTTTTCAAGTAAGTCATATTTTTTTTAAATTCTCATCATCATATATATCTGAAACTTGTTGCTTTGATTTATTAACCTCTGTAGCCTTGCTAAAAGTTGGGATAGTGTAAGTCTTCCCATGTAACTTTATTTGAAATTGATTTTTATTTGGATCAAGAATACCTTGAACTTTTCGAATCCATGTCATATCTAAACATAACATTGGTTCAGGTTTACTATTATTAATACAAGCAAAATTTCCAGTAGCTGTAACAATCTTACCATCTTTGTCCTTTATACTAATTGGCGCATCTGTATACCATCCTAATGATTCGAATATATGTTTGAAATTACCCTTTATAGCAAAGTCAGAAGGCTTATCAGCTTTCCACCTCAGGGTGTTAATTGTTGTATTATTTACTTCTCTGAATTCACTCGCGCTATCTAAAAAGGAATTAGTAATCAATAGATCATTTATATTACAATACAAGTATTGCAATAATGAAAACCATTCATCTGATTTTGATTCTTTTTCCTAGACTATATGAAACTGACACACTTTACACATTGCCGGTGAAAGCTTTGGTAATAGTTCATCGTATGTTTCAGGCTGACTAAGTTCTGGAAGCATTTTTTCATTTACTGGTACCTGTTTTTTTTTTTCTGACTAAGATGGAGCATGCCATTTATTCTCTTCCTTATTATATCCACCTTCTTCATCCTCATTATCATCTGAATCAGGAGATGCATATTGAAATTGGAAAGATATTAGAAGAGAAAAGTATTAATATGTTGAATTTGATTTAGCTACAGGTTTTTTGTTATCAAGCATTATTCTTCCGAATTGAGATGTCATTTGACTAATTTTATCTACTTTTGACTCTATTCTATCTATTCTGGCATTTTGATTTGATGAACATAATCATTCTGGTTTACTTGCTATAGGTAGAGGAAAAGCTTTATCTAACCATTGTAGTGCTTCCTCTCTAGAAAGATTTGACCATATAGGATCTCTCTAATCTGCATAAAATTTATGTATTTGTTCATGATCTTTGGGTAGAACTGGTAAGTGAGATTTTTTGGATTGCTGGCTTATTTTTGATTTGAATTCGGTTTTTAATTTTTCAATCTCGGCCTTGGATTCAGCCTTCTGTTTTTTTAACATAGCTTGAAATGATTTTTGCATTTCATCATATGAGGGAAATACTGGTTGTGAAACTATAGATTGTAATATAATACTGTCATTCTGCTTTGCTAATGATTTTTTCTTTTGTTGTACTTGATCAGAGTTTTGATCTACATATAAACTAGAACATTCAAGCTATAGATTTTTTAATAAAATAAAAAATTCATTAATACCTGCTATATTTTCATTTCTCATCCAACTATAAAGTTCTCGATCACCTGATAAATGAGTTTTAAGAGTTCCTAATACTCATGCATCATCATCTGCTACACCTAATAATAGTGGATGAATTCAGGTTTTATAGATATAAGGATTATCAAAAGGTTGAAATCTTTCTTAAGATAATTTTAAAATAGCTGATTGGCTAGTTCTAACTGTTTCTCATTGATATTTTGCATTTAACCATGCTCTTAAAGTATCTGAACTATCAATATTAACTGCTGGATTTACAAAATTATTTTGAGGTGGTACTGGTGCATATTTTCCTGCCATTTTACCTTTTATAATTTCGACTTTGACAGCATCATCAAAATCTCTAGCATTTGCATTTTCAAGAGCCATCATATTTGGTATAGCAGATGCCCATGCCTGTATAATCATATCACAATAATCACTAGATGGCATTTGACCCATATATTGTGGAATTGGATTTAATAAGATAGATACATATTTTAATGTAGGTAAACATCTTGCTTCTGCCATATTGTATGGATTATTCTGTAGTACAAAAATTTGTTGATTTAAATTTAAAATATTCTGGTAAGAATTAATTTCTCAAGCCTTCCATTTTTGATATCGATTAAATACCCAGGCATGATTGAATTCTGACAAGTCAGCCTCAGCTTTGCATCTTTGATATATTAGCTGAAGGGCTAGCTTTTCTCCTAGCAACTCATCAATATGGGTCTGCTTTCTTGCTATATTATTTATCATTTTGTTTACTTGGTTTTGAGCATTAGTTCGTAACTGATCATGCTTCAGCACTGCTTAATCATGCTCCTGCCTGTATATATTACGATCATATTGCACATTCACTAGGTCTTGTTGCAAGTTAGTATATTTACATCGAATTAACCTTGTTGCTCTTTTAATTTGATTTGTTAAAATGGTTTTACATATTGTTGTATCAGCTAGAGATAGGTCTATAGCATTGGCTAACTCTGCTATTGTAGCCATGTCTAAATCAAAATTATATAAGTCTGAAGAATTTTCATCAGAATAGGAATCAGATTCATTTTCATTAAAATTCCATGCCTGTACATTTTGTAAAGCCTCTCGTATATTTGTAAGTTCTAATCTATCTCGATATCTTAATAATGCTAAAGCAAAATTCTGACAAAGAAGGTCAGTAATACAATTTTTTTGCTAAGTTATTTTGTTAATCCTATTTATTTGGTTAGTACTTATTGTATTTATTTCTCGTTTAAGTTGCTCGTTTTCATCTACTAATCTTGTTGTATAATCTTGTGCTTTAGAGGTATTGCCAGCTGATTTTGATATTTTACAAATTCTGGTTTTTAATTTTGTCTCTCGTTCATCGAATTCTGATATTAACTTATCTTTATTAGAAATCTCCTTATCTTTCTTTTTATATTCTTTCTCAAGTTGGTGAACAATTCTTTTGAGTTTTGAGATTTCTTCTAATAATTCTTCTTTGTCTTGTCTAGAAAGCTTGATAGCATTATTTAACTCTTCTTCAAGATATCATATCCTTTCTTCACGTATATCTATAACTCTTTCTAAGGTATATAGCTATTGTTTGAAATTTCTATTTGATTCAGCTAAATGTGATACCACCTCATAGGGTTTCTGGTTAGTTTGTTGTAACTCCTCCATATTTTTTATTACTATAATAAAACAAAGGAATGAAGAAACCCATAATTTATATTGACCCACAAAGGGCCCATGATTTGGATAGGGAGATTACTTTGCAAAAAATTTATTATAAGCCTGAAGGTTATTATCGGATAGCTGAAAAAATATAGAATGCTTGTAAGAAAACAGGATATGAGTTCACTTTGGCTATAATAAAAAATTGGCTTAACAAACAGGCCTTATATCAGATCCATAAGCCTCGGCCAAAATTTATCCAATATGCTTCTTTTAACAATATACGAACATTGAATAAAATACACCAGTCTGATACTACACCTATGCCTCATAATAAAGTTGGCAATCAAACTTATAAATACTGAGGAGTAATAAAGAATATTGCAACTAGATATTGGTGCAGTTTCGCTTTGACTGATAAAACAGCTACACAAATGGCTAAAGAGATTCAGAAAATTTATAATAATCCAAATTGCCTACTTAGCTGGCCAAAAGTTTTAATCGTAGATAAAGGAACCAAATATATAGGTGAGTATAGGGATTTATTTCTCAGACATGGCATGAGAATTCAGTATGCTAAATCTAAATGAAGTGTGGATATCACTGAGCAAGATCACCAAGAATTTGAAAAGCATGCTTTTTTTTGCCAAGATGCTATGGACTTACATTTACCATTGACTGATAGATCTAGGGAGTGGGTTGTCAGCCTTTATATTAATGATGATAAATATAATGATTCCCCTACGAAGTTAATACACATATCATTCAATGAAGCTGTAAAAAAATCATTAGAAAGTGGGAAAATTTTTGCAGATCCAGCTGTCAAGCACAAAAGGCCTATAGGTTATGATGAACCCCTCCTATCATCTGATGTTAAAGTTCAGCATCTATTAGAACCTGGTGAACTAGAAGGCTGGAGAAGGAGGGCTACTGATTGTAACTGGTCTCCTGTAATTTTTTTGATCGAATTATTTTTAAGAAAAAATAACTAGCCAGTTCTCTACAAGCTATGTAACAGTCCAAGACGCCCATTCGTGAGAGAAGAACTTCAAATTGTAAAAGATGTGCATTTACCTCCTAGGTGGATATTGAGAGGAAACCGAATGCATTCAAGGCACTCTTAATGAAAGTTGGCAGATCAACAACACAATAAGAAATTGTAATAAGAATTATACCTTCCTTAAAACAGAGTGCTCTTTTTTTCCAATCATGTTGAATTCGTGCATTTAAATTAATTTGTCCTTGTGGATGGAAAAAAGAAATGATTTGATAATACTAATTGCCACTGTATTCGAAGCCTAAATATAATTCCTCATTATATCCATCAAGTTGTAAGCCTTCTAAAAATTTAGGTTTTCAAAATAGGAATTTTTTATGTAATAATTCTTTGAATATATATCAACATGATCTTTCAAATATATGAGGACAACTATTGCACCACCTATAATTTCATTTCATATCTCTATAGGATGCTTCCTATCGATGCTGATTTTTACAAACCCATAAATAAATATTAGGGTTTGATCTAACTTTAACCAAGCATTGTCCTTTACGTCTTTTGGCATAGGTAAGGGCTTTAGTATCAATCTCATTATAATCTTGCATTTTTATAATATTAGAATTTAACTTAAATATTTTAGTTAATTATACTCTAAGAGTATCACTTTTTTTCGAACTTGAGA